TTTACGAGGAGGCTAAAAATGGATGAAAACCAATCCCAAATTATAATGGAGTTTCACCCTAGTGATATGAAAAACATACTCCACGACTACTGCCAAGTTTTGGGTGCTTCACCGAGTATTACGCCACTTTACGTAAAAACGGGTTTGTGAAACTCCAATTAGTAATAATAATAGTAACACGGGAAGAGTTATAAAGCGTCATACTGTTCTCCACTTGATTCGCGTGAACTCTCATCGCGCGACGTAGCGGGTCTGGGGCGTCCTCAGGTCCTCTAGGGAAGCCCCACTTGAAGTAGTTACCTGACTTCAATACTTCTTCCTAAAGTAACCAACGTCAAACCTACGACTGGCACCAACGCAAATGGCATCGATCATTCCGTATTGCATCAACCACGCGATAGTGACAGCGCTGGGAGCCCAGAAGGTGTTGATGAATCCGGTTGAAAATGTGTCCAAACAGAAGCGACCATTCGCCGAAAGAATCGACATTGACGGAAGAGTAAGGCTCGGCAAATTTTATATTTTTTACGTAGCACTCACAAATTAATCGGTAGGTGATGATGGGCACCCTATGAAATCAATGATCGAGTTCAGGAAGGACTACAGGGTGATTGCTGATAACTACAAATTTTTAAACTCCGTGATCGATAACATTGCCGAGGTCGAGAGAAGCGTTCACCCAATTGTGATGGAGTAAGTAGGAATTGTTGTACAAGGTCTACAGCTTGGAGTTTCACAACCCGTTTTTACGTAAAGTGGCGTAATACTCGGTGAAGCACCCAAAACTTGCAGTAGTCGTGGAGTATGTTTTTCATATCACTAGGGTGAAACTCCATTATAATTTGGATTGGTTTTCATCCATTTTTAGCCTCCTCGTAAAGCCTCTAGCTCCTTGCAGAAGATGATGTTATTTCTCTACGACGGGGGGCCTAGACCGGATCGGTTCACCAATCGATCGATGAAAGACACCGTTGATCAAAGCCCCATTGCAATCAACGATGCATCGAATCAATATAAAACCACAGAATGGTTATTAATATTGTAACCAACGC